AATGATAACCAGAAAAAGGCAAAATCTGAGGTCTAGGCAAAGAGTGTTTGCAAACTTCTAAGCAAAAAAAGCAAAATGACTACGTTATGATGCAACTTTTGTTTAAAGATTAATGAAAGCCAGCCAAATGTCTCATTTTGAAAAATCAGGTCAGTACAAATACACATATATCCTTTTGCTTTGTCAACAACAGCAACAAAAACCCAGTAAGAGTAATTAAACCTGACATACCAGCCAAAAGTCTCAAGCTTAGATAAATACAGTACCCCAAACCTAAGGCAACTATTTGAAGAGTTCCAATTTCTTGGTAAGTGTATCAAATTTAAAGATTTCCACTACAAAACTACCTGGCCCTTTAGAATTGTTTGGCTGTGAAAAACCACCCTGGCTTTGTGGGTGAGCACAACCAGGTGCAAAAAGTTTCCTATCAGACTAGGAGGATTTAAAATATTCCTCCTGCTAGAGGTTTGAGAAATGATCCAGGCTACTTAAAATAGCTTTATATTGATATTTCTCCACTGGTCTTTATGATGAACAAGTCTGAGTTGAACTGGTGAGTGGAAAAAAATGCCCCTTGCTCCCTGCAGACAGGTATTACTCAACATCCAACACATGCAGATCCTAAAAAAATGACAAGCCAAGCTTTTAAAAAGTGCTAATATTATAAAAATTATTTGGTAAAGCTTTTCATTCTCGAACAGTTGGTTTCTTGACAATGTGTTTCTGCAGCTCACAAGCACACGTATAATAAAAACCTCATCAAGAATAGATATGTAGCTGGAAGCTGTGAAAGTTCACACTTCAGAAAAATCAAACTAACAAACTGCTGAGCCCTGTTAATTGTTTCTTAAAAAAAAAAAATCCCAAGCCAAAACATAAGCTGTAAATAGCTAATCAGAGAGATTCTTGACTGATCTGCATAACAGCAAGTTCTATTAACCTGACATAGATTTCTTACATAAAAGTATGTGGATTGCATTTTTTTTTCTTTCTACACATATGAAATCTTGAGAAAAAAAAAAATGAAATCAGAAGCATGCACACACTTTAGTTATTTTTGTCCACAGAAACCAAACTCCTATGACAGACTAGCACAGAAACCCATACAGAAAGCCAAGGCTAAGTTCATGTCTTGAGGCAGCTCATTAAAAAAATAATAAATTTTAAAAATCTACACAGTGCTAAAAGTGTGTGTGTGTGTGTGAGCTGGGCCAGCAATGCCCAACCAACACTCTACCAGCTCCATGGGCTCTCCCCAGCAACAGGGAGCTTCCAGAAATGCACTTTTAAAGGAGCTGTGTGCCTTGAATCCTTTCCACGTGAATAATGCAGCTCCAGGAAAACGCCAGCTTCGATGCTCTTGTTTTCACCAGGCAGCAGAAACCAGCGGGAGAGCAACAAAGCCTGGGATGTCTGGGGTTTATTCAGGGGTTTTTTTTGGAACAGGCAGGAGGGGAAACACACAGAATTCCTTTGGTGTAATATATTTTGTTTTATTGCTTCTGCAGCACATTAGAATCAAGTTCATGGATGAAGTGAACTCCAAGTACAAGTTCAGAACACCCAGGGCTGTGCTTCTGTGTTGGGAGCAAACAAGGCACTAGTGGGTCAGTTGACAGATTTTTCCAATTCTGGAAGTCAAATTAAAGAAATGAGTTTGGTATTTTTTCTTGTCAGAATCAACTGAAGAGATTTTCAGTGAAATAAAGTGGAGGGAGCAGTTCACACTTTCTGCTTGCACCATCAACATGGTGACTCAAGGCACGCATCCTAAATTTGCTTCTTTTTTAAAAAAAAGCCTTATTTGTGCCCAACAGCACAAGGAATAATGAGGCCTCCATTCCCCAAATCTTGGAATTTGCCCTCTACTAAAGCCATGAGAGAACTGCAGCTAAGTGACTTAACTGATAAGCACAGCCAACTTCAGAGTTCCTTGGAGTCCCAAGTTTTACAACCCCCCAAAAAATCAATCTTTCTTTCACTGGCTGTGTATAAAACATAACATTTGCTTCAAGAGGTCCAGAAGCCTTTTGAATACAAAACAGGAAAGTCACCAGGAGGGGGTGGGAAGGGGGTAAAAACCAGGACTTTTTTGGAGTGCTGACCCATTAGAGCTAACACACCCATCCCCGACACTGCATCAATGCAGAAAAAAGAAAGAGAGAAAAAAATGCAGCCTTTTGGCTCCTAATCATTAAGTCTGACACAGAACAACTGAACAATGAAGAAAGTTGAACTGCATTGCAAATTTATGTTCCATGCCCAGGTTATGGAATGTAGTGCAATAGGGCACTGGGCAGCAACAAAACTGCATTCCTTACAGAGGGAACAGCTTGAACTCATGATTTGTGCATGTGGGCAATACTGAGTGACCTTCATGCTTTCAGCATTCACTAAAGGTAGATTTATTTGTAATCACAAGTCAGCTGTTTTGTTTTTGGGGACAAACATGTATTTGGAAGAGCAAAGGTTTAAACTTTGTATTAAGCAGCAAATGCAGAAGCAAATACATTAGCTTTAAAAGCTGAATTTGAAGACTACACTCCAACATCCAGATTGGTCAATATTGGACTCTGAGAGAATGGTTGTTTGCTGCTCCTTTTTCTGTTTCCTTTGAGAGATATGTTCATACTTCAGTTCCATTAGAAAACAGGAGCCTCTCTAGCAAATACCTTATCTAAAAAGATGTCCCCTTTCAACTTAAGAGATCCAACACTCACAATGGACAAATAAAGTGATATTGCTCTTGCTGTAATGGACATAAGACTATCTGTATTTTAACAAATAAGACCCATCACATTTTTATTTTAAACAAGCACTGCCTGTCTCTTATTTGCAATTTTCTAAGGCATGAAATAAACCACATTTTGGATAAGGTGCCAACTGAACTGGACTGCAGTACAACAGATCCTAGGGCAGTATTATTAAAACAGCCAGCAGCTGGTTGCACTAAAAGCATCCCCTGGATACAATGATCAGTAAATTCTGGGTTTTGTTTAACAGACCAAGGTGATAAACCATAGATTATCTAAAGCTTCTGCATCATAGTCCTTGAACTCCTGGAAAAGAAGTTCTAACTTAGATTTAAAGGAAGTCGAGAGACAACATTGGGCACAACTATTTCTTGATATGCAGAGACATGAGGGAACGGGACAGGATTAATGATTTTCCCTGCACATCCAAAAATCAAGACAATTAAGAAGCATGTAGAAACATATCCTGATGTTCCAAAGCAAATGGCAAGGAAAATCTTGTTTACAAGCATGTGAGATAAAGCAACAGACTTTTGATTCTCAACTTCCTGCAAGTTGCTGTAAGGAATTTAATTGCTACCTCACAACCTGATGTGCCCCTTTCTCTGGTACCTGTACAAAAAACCCATCTGCTGAACAGAAGAAAGTTGAATACTGAACATGTAACAAATTTTCATACAAAACTGCCAACGGAAGCACACAAGGTTCTGAGACAATTCATAAACCCACAGAGGTCTTTATATAAGGTTAATGGTTTGCTAGCCAAGTGCCAAGGTTCACAAAACGGGTAATTTTTGTTTCTTTTTTTAAATCAGGTTTGAACTTTGTGCATTTTTCCTAACCACACTTCACAAAAATCTCAGCAGCAACCTAGATGGGCAGAGGATATTTTACTCAGAGGTGTTCTCAAACACCTTATTAATAAGAGAGCACAGGAAAGCCTCAACCCTTCAGCTATGTACTTCTGTTTGCTGATGCTGGGTCAGGCAGCACGACAGCAGTCTGAGCATACTTGGATGACTAACACTGAAACGGGCTGAAAACAGCAGCAATCATGACAGAGACAATAAAGAACCCCGGCAATTGCACACAGCTCCAAGGGAAGAAATATCATTAAGAACTGCTTTTAAAAAACGCAGGGAAAACACAGTTATGATGCCCAAACGTGCTTTCTTAAAGGCCATTTTTCATTAAAGGGATTATGTATGATATTAACAGCACACCCATAAATAAAGGATATGGCATAAGGAAATATGAGCATAAAATCTTGAATGAAACTTTAAGGCAAACAGATTACAAAGTGTTGTAATAGAATGACTAATACGTCAAAGGAACGCGCACAGTGCTAAAAAAATGGTGATAATTATAAAAACTGTCTTGTGAAATGAAAGACAGCAGTACATTGAGCTAAAATAACACCATCTTTTGGAGATCTTAATATACACCCTGCCTTTACTACAGTGCTTCAAGCAGAAAATTTCTCTGAAGCTTATAATTCATGAAGAGACCAAGCAGAGGAATGATGGGCTAACAGGGCAGAAATACACTGGGTGTTCCACACGGATGTACCGAGGGGTGCTTCAGGATGCTCTCCCCCTCTCCTGGGGCACGCAGGAAGGACACTCCAGCACTCAAGGAACGCGTACAAGGTAGCTGCTTTCCCCAAAAGTGATCACCTCAGGTCTCCCATGGAGATCAACAGCAAGGAACATAAAAAGGGGGTTTAAGGAGTGTTTCCTGCAATGTGCAAAAAGCTGTGTGCAGACTGGAGGAGTAAACCGAGGAGGGAAGCAGGAGCACTGGTGGGCTCGTGTGCCTCTCCTCGGCTGCACTGGAGAACAAATTCAACTGAGGAACAGGGTTAGGGTTACAAAGACAAGCTTGGGACTAAGGGTGGGGTATCAACGGTTCTTAAAAGGTGGCAAGTGATGAGGTAAAGGGCAAACAGCACAAAGATGCACTCGGTGAAGGGTCCTCAGAGGCTGCCAGAGCAGACCATGGGCTCGAGGGCGCAGCGTGCGAGGTGCGTGGGAGGCGAAGAGCAGGAAATTTGCAGGAGGAAGGCGCAGGGCACAGCCTGGAGGACGGGAGGGGAGGACAGGTGAAGCAGCCGAGGGAAGGCTGGGGGCAGGTCGAGGCACAGCACGCCGGCAGCGCCTGGCAGGGGGCTCGGCAGGGGAGAGGCGGCCGCAGCGAGGGGCAGGGCACGGCCGGGCCCGGGGCACGGCGGGGCCGGGCCGGACCTACCTGGGCGTCTTGGCCGCGGCGCTCTCCCGGCGGTCCAGCACCCCGGGCACGCAGTTGGTGAGCTCGGTCCAGTCGGCGTGCAGCCCGCAGCTCCAGCCCGTGGAGAAGCGCGAGAAGAGCCAGGTCTCCCTGCGGTTGGGCCGGTAGCAGGTGCACTTCTTCTGCCCGGGCCGGCAGTCGCACGGCACCTCCAGCCGCACGTTCTGCACCAGGTGGCGGCCGAAGGTGGTGCCGCCGGTCTTCTGGATGTGCAGAAAGACGATCACGTCCTCGCCCTTCATGTCGAACGCGAGCTCCCGCTCCAGCTCCCGCACGGGGAAGTAATACTTCTTCACGTAGTGCGGGTCCGGCGTGGGAAAGAGGTCCAGCTCCTCCGAGTAGGAGCGGCCGCTGGGGGAACCCAGGCTCAGCCCCGGCCCCACGTACTGGTACAGGATAAGCATGAAGCACACCGAGACGGCCACGATCAGCAAGAACTTGCTGGTCCTCTCAACCATGGTCCTTCCCGCACGCTTCATGTGTCACCATCTCCCGGGGCTGCCGGCGCTGGGCGGACTGCGGCGGTGCCGGGGGGTGGGTGGCGGAGCTCCGGCGTCTGTGCCAGCCGCCTCCCCCCGCTGCTCCCCGGAGCACAGCCTTCCCCGGGGGCGGCGGGCCGCTGCCTGGGTCGCCTCGGCTCGCCGCCGTCCCCGCCCGCCCCGCCGCGGGCAGCGCCGGGAGCGGGGCAGGGGCAGCCCGCAGCCAGCCGCTCCGGAGGCGCCGCGGCACAGCGGCAAACTTGGGAGAGACAGAGAGACAGAGGGGCAGGAGGGGGGCGGAGAGGCACCGAAAGGCAAGAACCAGCCTCCTCCCGCCCTCCCTTCCCCGCGCTTCAGGAAGCCACCCCCATTCCGGCGCTGCCTCCGCCGTGCCCCAGCCCCCGCGGCACCGGCGCGGCTGTGCCCGCCCCCGCCGCCGGCTGTGCCCGGCTCGGCTCGGCTCGGCCGGGCTCGGCTGGGCCGGCAGCGAGCGGCGCTTCCTGGCCGCGCCGCCCCGCCCGGCATGCACAGCGCCGCCCGCGCCGCCCCGCGCCCGCGGCCGCGCTCCCACCGGCGGCGGCCCCGCCCGAGCCCGCTCCGCTCCGGCACAGCTCCGGGCACTGCTCCGGCACAGCTCCGGGCACCGCTCCCGGTCCCGCTCCGGACACAGCTCCGGGCACTGCTCCGGCACAGCTCCGGGCACCGCTACCCTCCGGACACAGCTCCGGGCACGGCTCCCGGTCCCGCTCCGGGCACAGCTCCCCTCAGGGCACCGGTCCGGACACCGCTCCGGGCACAGCTCCCTTCAGGGCACCGATCCGGGCACCGCTCCCCTCCGGGCACCGCTCCCCTCCGGGCACCGCTCCCCTCAGGGCGCCGCTCCGGACACAGCTCTGGGCACCGCTTCCCTCCGGGCACGACTCCCGGTCCCGCTCCGGGCACAGCTCCCCTCAGGGCACCGCTCCCCTCAGGGCACCGCTCTGGGCACCGCTCCCCTCAGGGCACCGATCCAGCCCCCGCTCCCCTCAGGGCGCCGCTCCGGGCACAGCTCTGGGCACCGCTTCCCTCCGGGCGCAGCTCCCGGCCCCGCTCCCCCGCCCAAATCCCCGCCGCTGCACACCCAGGTGGGCTGCGAGCCGGCTGCGCCTCCCCGAAGCACTCGGCTCTCGGCGCTTCCTTTATGTGCCGCCTTCAAATGAATCCCGAGGAGCGGAGCTGGGCGCCCGTCGGGGGCCCGGTTTCTGCTCCGCTTTGAGGCACATTGCACGGGGATGGGAGCGGGTCTGCTCCCGCTGCGGCCGCCACATGGGCCACCGCAAGGCTCTGGTTGCGGTGTTGCAACTGGATGGGAGAGGAAAATGCTCCGGCCACACGCAGGGTGATGATGGCTGTGAGCTGGAAGAAGCCTGGGCACACACACCATCAGCCACAGAATGTGTGAATAATAATAATAATAGGTGAAGCTGAGGCAAAAATCGGCAGGGGTGTTATTTATAGCAAACTTTCCCAGCGAAATGCTTTGTGCTGCTCAGTCAGGCGGACTCCGTCCAGCAGCGGGGCTGCTGCAGAGTTGGTTTGGCATCTTAAGTCCCCCAAAACAAAGCAAAGCCCTGGGAACGCCAGAATGCCCCGCACGGAGCCGGCTTAGAGCGATCTCCTCTGCAGGGCAGCCCCTGGCAGGGGAAGGTGATGCTGCGAGGGTCGGTGCGGTCCGGAGCCGCGGAGCCCGGCCGGTGTGCCCGGAGCCGGGCATCCCTCACCGGAGCGGCGAGGGGCAGGCAGGACCCGCGGCACCGAGGCAGGTGGGGGTCACTGCCACCAAGTGTCCAGGGAACCCCTGGAAAGCACCACTTGGTGCCTCTGTGAGTGTAAACAGCGGATGAGGCATGGCCCCATGTCAAGGAGTGAGGTTAAAATGTAGTGGCACTCATCCTGCCACCTCGTCGAGACCCGAGTTATTGTCTATGCAGAATAAATTATACGGGCAATTGTTAATTTCTAGCCAAAAAATAAAAATTCTAACTGAAGTGCCTTGTTCTCCTGTCATTACTGATGTTGGAGAAAGTTTCCTTAAATTTCTGGTGCTTTTTCAAAATAGGAAGTTGCAATTAGATTTTAGTGCTCCAGCACTGAAATATTCCATCAGGTTACATTTTTTAAAAGCAAGTTTTAGGTTGCATTTTAATCCAAACCAGGTTACATTTTAATCCAAATGCTTTATGTAAATGTAAAGGAATTCATGCCGATGGGTCATTGTTAAACACTGGGTCAAATTTATAATGGCTAAGGAGGAAATGAGAGCCTGGATTTTCATTTGAACACCCTGACAGATAAATCTGCTACATGTTGAGATGGCTGCATTACTCACAAGTTATGGAGCCCCAGTGAGTTATGCAGTTCTTCCCAAACAAGTAACAATAAAATGTTTATAGTGCCCAAAAGCGTCATATGTTGTGTTCAAACCATTCATTCTGTTTGATATTTTCCTCTTAAAAGTCTGCTTCTGATTCTCCTCTTCTCATGTAGGTTAGTTGCTCCAGAAACAATGATGTCATTCTTATGCATAGAGTTCAGCTACACTGAGAAGCAGAGCATAAACCTAATTTACAGGTTTGAAATTTATGTTAAGATTTAGGAAATACACCTATGTAAACATGATGTTTACATACATGGTTGCACTGTACATTGCAGCATAAAAAACACAAAGCAGATTTTTTGATTGCAATGTGTTTGCCTACAGTTCTAAACATGTAAGTATTTAGAAATGCCAGAACTGTGGAGAAATCAGCCATTAAATTATTTCCAGTTACATGAGCAATTGCAAATGAATTGTTTTAATTGTTTAATTGTTTTAAACTCTTAACATATAAAATATTTTGCCCTTTTAGTTATAAAGATGAAGATTATAGATTTCATTATAGATTTATATTTGTGGTAAATACAGTGCCTGTTAGTTTGTGAAAGAACTTACTAAAATTCAGTTCATGTAAGATAAACAGACCACAATGGAAAATACAGAGTTATGGCTGAAAATGTGCTGTTTTCTTTACTGCAGCACCTTCATCTAAAAGTGGGGGATTGGGGAACATGCTGAAAGCATAGAGAAGGCCTGTACCTTTCTGATTTACACTTAGACAATTACTACTGCTTTTATTTTTATGAAGTGCTTTGGAATCCTTCCCTGATAATTCTATATGCTGCTCTGAAATTTTGGTATTTTAAAGGTTCTTACAGGTGTGACTTACCTAAAATGATCACTTAAGCAAATACTTAATCTCTGCTTATATTCAAAATTTCACTGAAGACAATGGTAGAATAGTTTTTCACTGCATGGGGAGTTAAATGTCAGGTACCACATCGGTGCTAATATAGATTAGCAGAATTGAGAGAAGATCCAAGTAAAGTTAGAATAAGAATAATTACACTTTCCCTGGCTCTGGCATTGAAAGCAAGAATGTAAAGAGGTGAGAAATCTGACAAATGCAAGTTGTTCCTGCTGCCCCCTGTGATGTACTATAACTGCCTGTTTATCCTCCAAGTTCACCTCCACCATGAATTTAGCCATTGTCCATCTTTCCAAGCTGACTCTTCCACTCTCAGGCCAGACGTCCCTAGGCTTTCCTAATCTAATCAGGAATTCACCTCCCTAGTTCTGACTAGCTCCTGAAGCAAAGCCCAGTTTCATTTGAAGCTGTGGGACTGACAATCTGCCATCATCAACATGCCTAAAAATCTAAATTTTTACACAAAAAGCATTTTGAGGGGAAAGGGTTTTTTTTGTGTGGTTTTTTTTGTGTGTGTTTTTTTTTTTTTTTTTTTTTTTTTTTTTTTTTTTTTTTTTTTTGTTTTTTTTTTTTTTTTTTTTTTTGTCTCTAAGCTGTGGACTAGAGGAGCTGCATTTCAGATTTTCTCTCCACATTTTCCTAGGCAAATGTGAACAGAAGACCCCCCATGGCCCACTGAAAAAGTTTTCTGTCATTTTAGTGTCCATCTAATCCTTTGCACCCTTCCAGTCCAGAACTGTGCCACACTGAGCAGAACCCTCTTACACCACAAACTGAAATATTATGTTTGACACTTCTATAGGAATCCAGTTGATTTTGGAGGATAACCTGCATTCAGTGATTTTCACACAACTGAGTTCCTTCAGGTAGATTTGAAAGGTGTTTTTCTACACACTAACCTGTGTTTGTGAAGGAGCTAACTACAAAATAATTCAGACTGAGGTCAGGCTTAGGTAACTAGCTAAGTTACCTAAGCTTGGTCTACACTCAGCCCCTTTCCTGGCTTTCCTAGCTATGTAAGCCAGCACTCATGATTTATTCATGGTAAAACCTTCCTAGGAATCAGGTACAAGGGTTAGAGATCTTCTTAGAGATAACAATAAATAGACACAAATTTTAAACAGGCAGTTGAAAAGTATTTTATCATTGCTTGCTGCTGGCTATAGGATGCCTAAATATTTATGTTAAATCTACTAAAATATTCTAATCTAATCCAATAAAATATTTAAATGTGAGTTAACACTGAGGGGAGGACAAACTTGGGTATCATCAGAGTATGGCTTATCACAGGAAACCTGCCATGAGAAAAGAACAGTGAGAAATGTGTGAACCACACACCACCTCTGCCACCAAAACCTCAATGAAATACTCATCTCAAAGCTTAATAAATAAATAGTGGCTTTACTAGTGGCAAGGGAAGACTAAAGGCTTCTTGACTCAGAAGATACAATAGTTTCCTGTGAACTAGTATAACTTAGTTAATCAAAACATTACAAAAAAATCCTCTTTTAACACTTGCAAAGCCTAAGAAATAACACAATAAATGTATTACCTTTAAATAAAGTTCTACTACTCACTCTTAAGAAAAACAAAAAGCCTATGTTTACTTTGTTTCCAAAGTATAAACTCCCCATTACCCCGAAGAGGCTGAAACAAACCGCTTGTAACCTCAATTCAGCTGTTTGGGTTTATGACCCAGCTCCTTTAGGAAGATACTGTAGGATGGGCATGTGATACTCATTTGCTTTGCTGATGTATGTACAGAATATCCAGAGTGAATGGGGAGGGGTCACAAACCACAGATCATAGCCCTTCACCTGAAATATCAACATTCAGACCCACAGCAAAGTGGAGAACTCTTGGTTTTCTGCTTTAAACTGGTTTTGCTTGTCCACTGCTGCTGCAGCATCAGTGGCTGTTACCAGCCCTGCACATTTGCACAGAGTGGCAGCACTCACACATCATTTTCCTC